GATATCGGGGTCAGACTGGTGCAAGCTGCATTATACACGCCATCGCGTATAATCTCGAGAAGAGTAAGAGCGCGGATCGGGCTTGTGAGAGAATAAAAAGAAGAAAAGGGAAGGTACTGTCCGCGCGCGATACGCAGCATCATCAATCGCCTGAAATGTCGATCGCACGCGACATAAACTGCGATTACTATGCTTATCGAGATTCCTTATTCATACACTCGTTTATTGTGCAAGTTTCAATGTATGAATGAATATCAGCGTGATACTCCACGTGGATGCTCCATTTATCTACGTGTACCTACCAAATGTGATTTTTGCGAGAAAAATTTCGCCGGCCACGATATCCGCTCCTAACCGAACAAAACTGACTTTGCACAGATTTCTCTTTTTGACAAAAACAACGGAGAGATATTTTAGGTCAGAACGTTAATTGTGATTTACCCTGTACATATGATATATAACAATTTAAATACTACAAAAAAAATATCGTTTGTGCGCGAGCAATAACAGAAGCTATAAAATCACGCTATTATCAATAATGTTCTTTGTGAATCTATTGACTCTATCGACAACATGCGTGGCTATTATAAAAAGTCTAACTTTTTATTACTATATTTCTTCATATTTAATCTTAAACTGTGAGAGAGTTTCGCCGAGAATGATTGTCCCCGAATAAATAACACCACTTAGCCATACTCCTTTCCATTATCGATTTTGCAACATCGTGATGATCATGTGTCTATCTAGGGCGAAACTTGATACGTATCGTAAAACAACGCATCTCGACGCTCACGACACTACAACAGCCGCTACATCTGCGCCAATCTGGCGGCTTGTATCTATCTACGGGATCTCGTCGCGGCTTCCTTCAATCTTCGTGGCAATATCTAGAGCCTCACTCTTCGTGCATAGCGGTTAGTGAACTGCGGGTACTGCGTTTAACGCCTCCCACCCTCTCTTCACCGACAATAATTAATTACTCCGAGAGACCTTTTAAGTCGTTGGCCGCGACGCAACGCAATTATCACGAGCAGTCTCATAATGACGCGAAATTTATGCATTATGACAAACTTAGCGCACCGTGGCACCATTAAATCACGCATAATGCTCCAAGCTTTTCTTCGAAGCCCCGATAGGGACTAACGCGAAAGTTACGTCGTAATGCGGGGATCGATACGATATTTCGCCATTTCCGATATTACCGTCGCTTTTTGCTCAATGGAAGATGGACACGTTCCCTGTTTTTGCAAGTTAAAGTATTTAATATGGCCCACACTTCGCCGAGTCTCTCAGAAATCTCGTCTGAAAAATTGCAAACTTTCCGAATCATGTCAGAAACAAAAGTGTAACATATGTGTGTCTACGTGAGAGAGAAACTGGAACATTCTATATTTATCTTATATCTCGAGGAGATCGGCGCAATTCTGCAATATCGACAAGATAACATTAAATCCTCATCAGAGTTGGGACCCGGCGCTGAACACTTCGGGACGAGAACTGGGCCAGTTTCTTCTCGGAAATGACGTCGTGGGGAAACGACAAATAACAATGAATCGATCGTCTCGTCGAATCCTCGTATGAGAAAGGAACGCTGCGACACTCGAAGACATAACCTTCACAAAAAACCTCCCTTACTATATAGCTGTTGTCTTCCTAAAAATATATTTATTTTACTAAAAAAATACTGTCATGTTCACTTTCTTTTTCGAATAAAAATTTGTCCTACATAGAGCCTCTTAATATTCCGCCATTTTCGATTAAATAAGAAACTACACTAATCAGAAGGAAGTCGGCAATATCCAGACTCTAGTCACGTGTCCTTAGTAGATAGAATCTAGCCACTTGCCCCTCAAGATGGCGCATTTATACGGATTATAATAAATTTTGGTGTTTGAAATTCTCTTATCATCACAAACGTTATAGTAAGGTATATAATAAACAGCAACTTACTAAAATCATAAAATCAAAGCATTAGATCTTTTCATAAAAGAGTCCGTAGAGTGAAGTCCGTAAGTGAATTGCTTTATAAGCTCCCAATGTAATGATAACGCAATGTAATGAACCACTGTGATTGATTTCGCCAATTTAAGGTATTTAAATCAATGAGAAAAGATCGGAAGAGTGGCCAGACTTTACCTTCTAGGGACGTCAGTCACATCGGAATCAACACGGATACATCGCCGTCGGGAATAAAGCGTGCGAATACCCGCGACAATCACTCAATCGGATTACGCACGATTTGTGTTCGCAAATTCAAGCGTACGCACGCAATGGAAATCACGGGCTATAAGTGCTCGAAACATTTATCAGCCTACGCGCATGGACGTACCGTTAAAAAGCGCTACGGTGAACAAGGTTGCATATAGGAAAAGGAAGGAGGAGGGAGAGGCGGGGAACGGAGATTGCTGTATAAAATGTTCGACGCACATAAAAGCGCGGTTTTAAATGAAATACACACTCGAACGAAAACGCGGCGAGTTTCCAATGCGGAATTAATGGTCTCATAAGTAACGAATGAAAATTGCGCTTAAAAGCGCACTGATTCGCGCGCTTCGGGAGTTATCTGAGGGGAAAAAAAGCACGTATCGCAGATTCGACGGCCGAATTAAATTCCGCGAGAGTCATCCGTGAATCGATTGCTCTTAGCTCAGTTTCATGACCGTGCAAAATTGCACGAAAAGTTAAATCGTCTATACCACGCATTTCGAAATACCGATTAATTGCATACAATTAATGTGCAGCATTTCGCATAAATTATTTTAAGCTGTATAATTAAAGTAATAAATTCGAAATAATTGGGAAGGCCGTCTAGGTTGCGTGGAACAGGAGGAAAGCTGCATTCTCGTTACATATTAATTAGAGCAGTAGTAATGACAAATTTAATCTATGAAACGATTTTGGAGGGGACTTAAATTAAAAAAAAAAAAAGAAACATCTCCCTTCAGCTGTTACATTTCACTTTAGTTGTTGCATTTTGATTATATACATGTCGATGCCGATACACTAGAATATTAATCACGTTTAATTTACGCGCATCTAATTAAGCGGATGTATATACAGGATGTCTGACGACAACATATGAAAATTTCGTGTAGATTAGGTGGAATTGAACAAAAATTCCTCTACCAGTTTACAAATGACCACGTAAAATTTTAAGTTATTCATTAAAAAAGATTACGTGCGATACGGTGGATGAATTGTATTCCACATAACACAACGTCTGAAATGAGGACTAAAAGATATCCTGAAGACGTCTTTCAGACGTCAGAATATAAGATGTCTTTAAGACATCTTATGTCCCGATTTTAGATGTTGTTTGGGATATTAGGTCTAACTAAACAAAAAAGTCCTTTACCGTTCTGCAAATAATTGTGTGAATTTTTAGTTATTAATTAGAAAATATTTGGCAAACGCGATCGCGTACAATCATTCGTCAATTTTTTTTTAATTAATAACTAAAAATTTACGTAGCTATTTGCAAAATAGTAGAGGATTTTTTTGTTTTGATTGACCTAATGTACAAGCATATGATAGGCAGACGTCACCATCATAACTGTATAATTAGCTGTACAGCTAATGGTCAAATGGGTCGAAAAATGGATCGTATTTATAGCGCAGCGAAATGTGTTAATTATTCAGCCTGTTTCTCAGGCTGGACATTGTAATTTGCTTTCTCGCGCCGTGTCAACCGGAAAAGTAATACAGCATGTCAATGAGAAAAATCACAGCAACGGAATGATCCTATCCGTCCGTCGCTGGGACGATGCATACGCATTACTCGTCATTCATTTCAACGGGCTTATTCCGCTCGCCGTCTGATTCTATTCGCTGCTTTCGCGAATATTTCATTACCGCTATTTCTCAACTCTCAAAGTTACGAGAAGCTGGGACAGTCGTTAATTACGTGAAACGCCACTATGGCCTGCTTTCGTTTGCATGATAATTCCCTTCTGCTATAATCATTGGAAATGGAACGGAACTGATGAGAACGCCTCCGTAGTAGCTTCATATTTTCGTAAAAATATGACAAGAGTTCATAAAGTTCTGTACATTGTGTTTTCGTAAGTTCTCTTAAGTTAATAATATATTCCCGATTCCGAGTTCAACGAAGATTTCTTAATTTTTCATTTTCCTCGTAAGAGATAGAAGTACCAATACCTGTACATGTATTTAATCTTGGTCTTATTGTCTCGATTTTTAACCTTTAATACCCTTAATAACCTTAATAACCTATAAAAAACAACTTAATAACCTAATAAATAATAAAAATTTGGCAATTCTGCTTGTCATCATCATTTAAAAAAATGATTTATTTCACTTAAACACATAAAAATTTATTTCCTTAAATTTTTTAAATCTGCCAAATATAAAGAATTAAGTACCAAACATTGGTATTTTTACTTTATCTTATTCTTTTTAGGCAAAAGACAATATTTCAAAAATATGCAACATTAATCAATACATAAATTTATTTACAATATCAGCATTCTCGATATAATATTAAAACGAAGTAGTTCAATGTGTATGTGAAAATTTGGAAATTTGCAAGATATGGCACAATATACAAAACTTTAAAAATATACTATTGCAATCACAAATATGCTTACCAATTCAACACGACATCGAACACGCAAACTTTTATCGAGAGAAGAAAATGCGTGTAACACTGCGTGATTAAATTCATTAGTAATCATGTGCATAGCGACGAAATCTAACGTTGCTAGAATGGCTCAATGAAAAAAATTTAATTTCCAATACAATACCGTGTGTACCGAGTTTTATAACGGCGTTATTTTCAACGTGGTAATGCTTCGTACAGTATCTCATTAGAAACGTTAGCGACACTAATGAAGGGATAAATGTGCGTGCTCATTGAATCAGGGTGCAGCAAAAAGTTGATGATATCCCGGATCACGTCGCGGGGATATATTTGCGGGTCGCGATAAGTGAACATGGCTTAACGATGGTAATCAGAAAGCATTGTGAGAAAAGTTACTCACCGGTGCTCTTCACGGTGGGAGACGCCGACGGTTGCGCGCACAAAGCTTGCGTGCCCCATAGGAGCGCCAGGGTGACGCGAAAAAACTTCATACCGGTCATCGTGAGTAGCTATTCCATGGAAATCCTGAAATGCACAGAATACCAAATTTCTTTACTTCCTACTACGGTAACGCCACGCAAATTAATATCTCTCATCGTGATTTTTACACGGAGAGAACTTTAAAGTGAAAAAAATTAAAAAATAGAATTTCATAGCCGAGAGGAATAAACCGACATTTTGCAGTCTTATATACTACTTGTATTCCAAGAACTAAAATGTGCTATTAAAAAAATTAGTTGTTTCTAGTGAAACTTACTATGTTTCTTAGCAAGATAGATCTTTACTAGGATGCGTTCCAAAATTCAACTTTAGTTACCATCTTCTATAGTGTACGTAACATAAATTACTAACTAACAGAACCATGGTAACTAAAGTTAAATTTTGGAACGCACTCCTGACAATCTATTTCTGCGCTATCAGAAACATAATAAAATTAAAAAGGATCTGTATAAAAAAATATAATCATTTATTCGTGTAGCAATGAAACAATGTCGTTTTAACGTAAAATGCTTTCACATGTTTTATTGTTATTTTGTTTCTTCGATATATCTGCATCTTTCTTTTTGATACTATTATTTCGGTCTCTAAAATACCAAGATAGATAGATAACCCAAAGCTTGTTCATCCCTAGTTCTACGTCTACACACAATCTAGCGGAGATGGATCGACTTCGTCGCAATGTTTCACACCGAATGGTAACCATCGTTGTATCGCGTCGCTTCCCCATTTTCCCACGCGATACTGCCTCGGGAATGAGGAGAAAAAAGGGTGAACCAACAACAGCGTCGACTCACCGCGAAATGAGATTCTGATACCGCGATTCGATAGTCGCAGATCGTGTTACGAGCGCGAATGTGTCGCGACATAATATTAAATATAGCAAATAAAAAATATATATATAGTTTAATTTGGGATTCTATAACGAGTGCAGGCGTATGGATCTTTCTTAGTTTCAAGAAGTTTGATCATTTTCATCACAGCTATACAATCATATGTGAGCTGAACATATGCTAAGTAAATAATGCTAAGTTGCATTATTAAATGTTATAATAACTCTAACATTTTATAACGTCTTATATAATGTTATAACTGAAAACTAAAAAAGAAGTTATGTAACATAAAACGGGAAATATTAAATCTTATGTTTGTGTTCTATAATTTTATATTAAATAATAAAATATTATGACTATTTTTTCTCTCTAACTAATAATACTGATGATATAAAAAACTTCACATTTATAAATTCCAATACAAAATTCTTAAATTTACCAACAAAAAGATTATTACATTTAAGAACTTTTTTAACACAGTAATTCTGTTGAAACTTTTATACGCACTCTTTTCTAGAGACCTAGAAAGGTTTAAGCTATAAAATAGCAGCGTAATAAAATTGAAATCTGCAAATAGATTTGCATTATTTTGAAATTTTCCCTGACTCTTCACAAAAGTTGGTGAATGATCAAATATTCATTCGAGATTCACAGACCCAATATGGTACGCGAAAGGTTAAGATGAAGGTTTCAAGAACTTGTGGATTACGGCACGTAACAGTTGTCGCTGCGGGGATGTAATAAGAGTGTGACGGACGGTAAACGAAATCGGAAGCGATATGGAGGCTGATTTATCGGAAATTAATATGCTACGAGACTGGCAAGAAATATTTGGCGTCATTTACAGCCGCGCGGAGGACGAGGATAGGAAAAGAATTTAAAATAGATTTGCACGGGCAAAAAAATACTCTTCGTGATGATCGTCGTCGTTGTCGTCGTCGTCGTCGTCGTCGTCTGTTCTCCTCCGGGACTTATCGCGGCTAAGATAACGACGAGCCCGGGAGAGCCGTGCAGGCGACTAAGGCACATTGATGATCGGCCGTTAAGAGGATGGAAGAAGAAGCTCGCGACTCGTGGCTAGATGGATCCTCGCCGGCGAGGGTAGGAGAGATGGAGCATTGTATATCCCGCCAACCACCGGCACACAAGCGTCGTACCATCGAGTCGCCTCGAGATCTGCCGCGAGAGCTGATTCACAGAATAGATCGTAGATAAGTAGTGATCTTGCCTCTCTCTCTCGGTCCAGAGACGCCGGCTCGATCTGACTTAAAACGACGCAAGTCGAACGGTGTGATTTGGAGTGTAAACTCATGCCGGGAAAATGTGAATTCGCACGTTGATATGCCGCAGAAAACGAGCCAAACGATTGCGCCGAGGACACACGGCTTCTCGATAGTCTTAACAACTGCTTCAACCACTTCTAAATGAAATGGGAAAAATATGATGAGAAATCGAATGATAACGCCCGGCTAGTTAGCGCAACATGTTATCTCTCTCTCTCTCGCTTTGCTCGCGTGCTATTTAATTAACCACTTCACTATTATGCAGTCATCCACCATATTTTTTTCTCTCATTTCCGCTTTTGTTAAACGTGTAGCTTTTATGTCCATACACTACATCCAAGGTAATGCTTTCTACCGTGTACATGCTGCTATCTTCTTTGCGCTCAAACTTAGCACTAATGACAATATAACGCAATCTGCGATAAAATTTCAGCAGCCCCGCGCTTCTATACTTTTACTTATGCTTTAATCGCGCGTCTCAAACTCCTAGCATCCTTCTCTATGCTGTAGAATTACTACCACTTTAAAGGGGCATAGTACCCCAGGGTGTTATTAAACTTCACTCCATTCCACTATCTCTTTCTTATCGTGCACGCAATTTAACATTAACAGATTCACGACTAGCAGGTGCGCGACACACACGTGCCCGCACACGCTCGGTTGTTACAAACGCGTTACATGAATGAAATTTTAACCTGCTTAATAAATTCTACAACGCGTTATCCTTTAATTTGCGGGATCACTGATAGGCAATATCACGTGAAGTACGCACGCGCGCATAGCCGTCCCGCTTTAGACGAAATCAAATGCTAATTCATGAAAAGTGCGTATTAACGGCGCGCAGTTATATGTGCGGTTAAGCAGGTTATACGTTCGCTGATAGATTATTCATACGAGATATCCTCGCTATTAACGGAATGATTTATCACTCGAACGAGATATTGCATTCAAATTTCATTACCTTAATAGGAACTAAACCCTTAATGGCCACATATGCCGCGATATTCCTATAGGGGTCGATAAATAACTACCACCGCAGTCCCGTTCCTTCCCTCCACAACCCCCCTTCCCACAATCATCTCCCACACCTCACCGCGTTCTCGCTATAAATCGCGAATCGTCTAAATCTACCGGCCGCTCGACCGGTATCAGGAACTCATTCCGCAGAGAGACGATTTCCACTCTTTCGGCGAGCAAAGCCCGAGGAAAAAATGACGCAGACGAAGCACCGGTGAACTTTGTAAAATACGAGTGCAACTGGCAACGCGATGCACTTCGTGCATCGCTGTGGGCACCTGCATTCGTGACGGATCTACTCGACGAGCGATCCGCCACGGAGTTTCACACACGGCCGACGAACGCGTGTCGGCGATTTATCGCGTTCATATATGTGCCGTCTATCGCTGTGCGCGCGCCGTCGTAGGAAAGCATACACCTGCAGTAAATGGAGGGAGTGCGCGGAATAACCTCCGAGCGCTACCAACTCGCCATCGAGACGAATGTGACGAAACCCCGGTCGCGTATCGGAGATCTTTCTGGCGTATTAGTTCTGCGCTGTTGATTGTGTTTGCCGTCGTTGTCCGTCTAGAATACGAATCAGCCGTTGTTAAGGAGGAATTATTTGCCGCCGTAAATAATAAGCCAGACGGCTGGATGTGTGTTATAACGGAGCGAACGCTTGGTCAATTTATGGCCGTCGAACATCGGTCCAGAATTTGTCATCTGTGCTATCACCGCAAGTAATTGGATGCACACTCACGCAACGTAACTCATCACTTTTAGGAACGATGTTTTTTCGCTGGGATACCAACAGCGTGATTTACTCGAGGAAGACAAATGCCATCACTGTCAAGTACTTTTCCACTCTAGTACCTTGGACTGGACCACAATATAAATCTTTATATATTCATATAAAAATCGCAGCATATGACAAAAGTTATAAACCTCAGGGGCTTGTAAAATTCACTCTTGTGCCACAAACGGAAGATTGTGTACAAAACGGGCAATATGTGACTTTCTTTTTTAATTCCCACGAATCAAAATTTTAATCGTTGATTTTTAATCCAACCTGCGAAATTAACCCGGGAATGGGCGCATTAATGGAACTAACATTAGTGGGTGCGTATCGGTCGTTTCGACCGAAATATGTTTAAGCACATATATGTGTAATAATTAATAAATTACCAATTATTAAAAGAAACATAATAATTGAAGAAAATAATTTTATTATATCACTATTTCTTCTTTTTCCCATCTTTTTTTCTCTTTACCATTTCTATATCTAATATGTTTAGGAAACATATTAAACTCATTGTACATATGTGAATATATTAAAAATAAAATCATAATATTTTTATTTTAACTGCATTAGTAAAAAATATTATTTTAGTTTAATAAAATAAAATAAGAATTTCTTACTTCTCTCGTTTTACTTTGATTAACTTAAATATTGATTTAATAAACTTAAACATTTATTTCATAAATTTAGAAATAAAGAATAAATTTTCTTGATTCAATGGCAATATTAAAACTATCACATTATATATTGTTTCAATAATTCAAGTATTAGTTTTAATAATATCGCTTGAATCAAGAATATATACTCCAATTACGCTGTTGAAAATTTTATTGATTCAACAAAAAAGAGAGAATCGTCCGTCCAACTACGATGTCGGAAAGACAATAGACGTTCGGCGGCGCATCGAGCGACGCTGACGCGACAGAGATAAAAGACTAACGTTAGTAGGTGCGCTATGGTTTTTTAGATCGACTGCTAAAAACGTATCAAATTTCACATAGAAATAAGCGCGTCTATGCCGTCTTCTTCTCCATGTTATACGAGAAAACATCAAAGAAAATTTACGTAAAAGCGAAAATACGATAATGTCAATATATTAGATTATATAAGCAG